TTAAAGAGCATACAACAGTAGTGTAGTTTCATTTCTTTTCAGAGATTAGATTCATGGCCATGTAATTGTAAATAATCGAGCAATAGTCTTCTAGCGAAATTTAACATTTTACTTTATCTTCGAAATAGTGAAAAAATCTTCTAGTGAATAAGCAAGATTCGACAATTTAAATTTAGAATGCATGAGATCCTTGACACTTGAGTTAGCTTTTCTTGTAAATTTTTTTTTATGATTTGGAAGATAAAATAAAACAAAAAAAATTGCTAGACAGCTATCACTCGATATTTACATTTACATGACCATGAACCTGTTCTCTGAAAAGAAATGAAACTACACTACTGTTGTATGCTCTTTAACTTCCGACTTTCTTCGAACCGATGTTACCTGGTATCTCTTATTTATTAGTAAATACTGCATTTTAATGTTGTTTCTAATATTAAGATATGTGAGTTATATCCATTCTTTCCTAATTTAAATGCGTTGTAAACAGTCAAAAATGTCCGATTTTACGCGTTTTAAACCGTTGATCTTGAAAATGTGTTTTAATCGTTTGTCTCTTCTACCACTTTAACGATGTGAAAGCTGAAAAAATGCGATTGTTAAAACGCCAAAATTCGGACATTTTTGACTGTGTAAAATGCGTTACAAGATAAAACGCAAAACGGTCGTTATAACGCGTCAATTTAACTTTTTTGACTGCTTGGGTAGACCAAATCATCGGAAATTCAAAAAAAGACATTTAATCTTGTTTTTCTAGTAGTTTGATGAAATTATTGTATCTTCGTCATATCTGTTTGATTGTATTATCGGAATTTATTGCTATGTCATAAATTTAAACATTTATCTTCTTATTTTTGAGCGACATCTATATTACCATCCATTAAAAATATGAGTCATAACTATAGTAGATTGCGTTTTTTGCATTCACCATTCAATATTTGACAAGATTAAAGAATGACTCACATTTTTTAGTTCTGTTGCAATGCCATATCATTGTGTGCTACATATATATATATATATATATAGAAGGTACTGTATTTTATCTGTTGACAGGACTACAACGAGCATTATTGCTTTCTAAAATCTGCTGCTGCTTGATTGCTTGTTGAGTGAAGAACCTTATTAAAGATAAATACAGCATTATATTTGTCATCGAAATGCATCAACAACGAGGAGTAAGTAATCTTTAATTGTTATTGGCCGTGCTTTCATATCGCATTCTGTTTTGTTCAATACTAGAGTATCGATCTATTGCTTAGATGTGCTCTGATTAGTTCAACAACAATCATAGTTTGGAAAAGTCTTATGCTAATGACTAACTGTGCAAGTCCTATTATTATCTCGTTAAGGTTGGTCTTTTCTAATTTATTTATCAAAATCGAAAGTATGTATTTTTGACTAGTGGTGGTACGGAACCAGCGTTTAATAGTCGTGGTGACCTTCTTCTTTTGACTAACTATCGTACAGAATCCATTCGTGCAGGTGACATTGTTGTATTTCGAATTGAAGGTGGCGATATTCCAATTGTTCATCGAGTGATTAAAGTACATGAAAAGTGAATTGATTTTTTTCTGTTAAACGACTACTATCAATACTCTGTCTTTTTTCATTTCTACTTTAAGAAACGATGGTTATGTCAAATTTTTGACCAAAGGTGATGGCAATCAAGTAGACGATCGCGGTCTTTATCTACCAGGACAACTTTGGCTTGAAAGTAAAGATATTATCGGTAAAGTGAAAGGGTGCGTTAATTCTTTATTGTTGACTGTTTTTTCTGGTTCTTATTTCTAAAATTTATTTAGATATATTCCATATATTGGGTGCATATACATTTTAATACATGATCATCCTCTACTGAACTATTTCATCTGGGTAATGATAGGTTTCTTCGTATGGATGGACTTTCGGTATGAAAAGGCAAACTTTTCAAGGAAAAAACGAAGATTCCTCACCTTTTGGATCTGCATGACGACTATTAGTTTGTTAATTAAATCAGCATACCATTGAATACTGTCGCATCTCATCTGTAAGCGATTATGAACAAAATTTTGCATCGTGTGCTTGTCATAACGAATAACTTTTTTTTTTACTTTGCTAACAAACTCTCATTGCAAAACGGCGTTGATGTGCAGTGAGTACGTAAATGTTTTCCAGAAAAGAAAGAATTCTACTTACTAATGAGCTAAACAATAAACATGATCAACGCAAAATATGCAAACCTTGTGTATTTTTTAGACATATTGCTTCATTTTCGTTTAAAAAATAACCCAGGCGAGCAAAGGACGGGTAAAAAGACTAGTTGCATATTTAGTCTTGACGCTATGCCCAGACCAGTCTTTTTCTCAAAAAGTCCTCGTACATGACTAGTCCGAAATCATTTGTCGTCC